CCGCGAGCCTCTTCCCCATCTGCTCCATTCTACGGTCCATCTCCGTGCCGATCCACTCTTCCGCTCGAAGCCAATCTCCTCGAACAGCAGCTTGCAATCTCCCGAGCTCATTCGCTTGCACTTCAGCTCTTTGCCTCACACCTTCCAGCCCGGCGCCGATCACCGAAATGGCCCCTTCCTGCGCGGCCATTCTACCATGCACACCTTCCTGCAAGGCGCGCAGCTCGCGGCCTTGCTGCAGCTGCTGCGCGGCCGATTGATTCGCCGCCAGCTCGAGCTGCTGCCCGAGCGACTCGCCCATGCCGCGGAGAGCGGCATTCTGCTGCTGCCCGGCCGAATGGCTCCATTCTGCGACCGCAAAAAGGGTCGCTCTCCTCGCAGCAGCCGCGGCCACAACCCCCACGTGGCGCAGCAATAGCTGCTCCGGTCGATTGTCTTCCTCGCCGCGCTGCAAAGCCGTCACTCCTCCACCATTTCCATTCAGCTCCATGGGGGTCGGCCCGCCTCGATAGGGCACCAATTGCCCGGCCGATTGGTCCCCCGGATTCCCAGTCTCCTGGCGAGGATCCCCACTCGCCATCCCGGCCGTCGGCCGGTGTGTTCTCGCCGCTCGAACGCTCCGCGCTCCGAAACCAATGATGCAGGGAGCTTCGTTGCTCCCGCGGGCGCACAGGTCGGATGAAACGGGGAGTCGGAATCCCCGGGCGGTTACTACATTTGTACATTATACAAGATTGTCTTTAATTGCTCTGTTCATTGTCCCATGTCCTTTGTAACCACCACAAGGCTAGTTTACCCAACTCAGACCCATTTAGGGTAATCAAATACATCTAATTCATCTACAAAAGCAACCGTATCACGAAGGACCCGGGCCTTTTCGGCCAGAATTGTCACCTTGTCCCGGGGAACGAAGAAACGGCAAGCGTTGGTGTCCACCACCACCCCGAGGTGGCGCTTGACCCGAACCGGCTCCCACTGGCATTTCCGATCCTTAAAGCGAATCCCCAGGGCCCCAAAAATCTCCTTAACTAATTGGGACCATTCTCGCAATTTCTGGGGATCGCTCAGGGCGGCCAGAAAATCATCCAAATAGGCCAGGATAATGGCGGGGTCATCGATCGTATAACGCACATAGTAGCGTTGGATCGAATCATTCCCCGCGAGACTGCCAAAACGGAATTTTTGCGCCGCTTTGGTACATGACCCCGGAGAGCGAAAGAAACGAGTAACCACCAACATAAAATGGGTGAAAAAGTAAGGAGATAACGAGAGACCAAAGGGGAGGGCGCGGCAAGCGAAGACCTCCCCGTCCATACGAAACTGTAAAAAGCATTCGTCAGCCAATCTCATCCGTAAATGATGGTAGGCATCCTTCACATCAAAACCGACCAAAAAATCATCCTTCCTCAACAAATGACCAAAATCCCGTAATTTTTCGTACCGCAAGCCCATCTTGCGCAAGTGCCGATTAATGCGGCGGAGATCGACGCAAAGTCGATACTTCATCACTCCATCCTCCCGCCCCTTTTCCACCAAGAACGCGCGAGAGATGCGCGAAGAGGGGCCGGGGTCTACCTTGACGATCGCGCCCGACTTCAAATACTCCTCGCGGAGGGCCGTCCAGCCCGCCCGCTCCTCCGCCAAACGGATCGGGTATTCGCCCAGGTCGAAAGGCGGGGGAGGTCCCTGCGGTCCCCAGGGCAGCGGGACGCCCGAATGGATCCATTGAAGAACGTGCGATGGCGCTCCAATCCTCCGCCATGCCGAGAGGCGTCCGCGGGTGCGATTATACGGGAAGTCGGTCACGCGTCCGGAGGTGGACGCGCCGCTTGAGGGGGATTGCGCCTCTTGCCCCGCTTCCCCGACGGGCCGCTCGAATGGGGAGGAGGATCGCCGCTCCCCGCCTTGGACGCCCGGCTGGCCGCGGCCGCCTTGGTCGCAAGCTTGACCTCCTGGGTGAGGAGCTCCTTGCGAATGGCACCGAGCGTCCCGTCGATGGTGTCGGTGGTGAAGCCGCCTTCGGGCTCGCTGAGGCGGATCTGGGCCTGTAGAGCCCGCCAGGATCCCTCGAGCCCGGTGCCTCGATGCTTCGCGTGCACCTGATGGAGGCGCAGCTGGTCGACCTGCCGCTCGGTAATGGCCACCGAGGCGTAAACGTACGGCAGGAGAAGATCCTGGATCGAAGGCGGTAGACTCGGATGGGCGACAAGGTCCACGAAGCACGCCGCAAAGTCGAACTGCCACGCGACCCACGGCGCCCAGCTCGCGTACTCCTGGAAGTAGCCGGAGTTGGGTCCCAAGGCCGCGGCGACGGTCTGGCCCTGGCCGGTCTCCCGTACGTCGAACCAGGCCGGGAAAGACGTAAAGTCCGGCCTGGCGACCCGGTTGTTGACTGAGCGGGGGAGTAACCGGGGGTCGGAAACCCACGTGACCTCAATAGGACGGTCAGGGAGGCGCTGGTTGAAACGAAGCGCCTGTGCCCGCAGCCACTGTTCGGCAGGGCTGGGGTTCATACAGAAAGGACTCGGCGCGAAGGCCGGAAGGTCAAACCACTCGGTGGTTCCGGGTTGTGCCAAAGTGTTGGCGCGAAGCCAAACAAGATAAGGGGGGCGCCAAGGGTCGCGCCTGAAATAGCACTCCCACTTGCCGCCAAACTCCCCGCCAAACCCAAGGGCCAGCTTGACCGGTCCCCTTGGCTGCGCCCAAGGTACAAGGTTCAACCCAAGCTCCCTTGGATACGTCGGGCAGCACTGACCCCGAGTACAGGGGTGACAGAAACCGGCTTACGACTGGCCCCAAACTGTCCAAAGGCGGAACGGCCCGACCTGGCCGTTGCGCGCCCTCCCAATCGTCGCCCTTCGCAGAAACCCATTAACAAGATAGTTAATTCCATGAACACCGGTTGCCAAGACTAGGAACTGCAGCCACAGATCCGCGCTGGCCTTGTCAGCAGAAGAAAAACGGATCTTGAGGGAGAAGAAGTTAGGGAATAATGTGTCCACCGTGCCACGCACGTCCGGCGAACTGGCGGGTCACGATTGGCATGACACATTGAGCCTGTGCTACCATATCTGGTCGGAAGCACGAGCCTCACCAAGTTGCCGAAGCAAAGTCTGTCGGTAGGAGCACCTGCAACAGGGGCAGGCGGGCGCCTTGAGGCCACTTGTGTCGCTGAGAAACTGCCCGGGTGGTGCCAGGCGCGCGGAGCCCCGCCAGTGGCGGCATCCCCGATGGGGATTCCCAACGGTAGCGTGTGGGGAATTCCACAGACTGTAACACTGTCCTTGCGTATCTTCATAACAATGCAGGCCCTCCTCGGTGGACTTGAACACGCATTGATGAACGCCACCGAATATGCACACGACTTCCAGGCATTTTTCTTGCTGGCGGTGGGGTGTGTGGGTGTGTGGGGTTTGAGCTTCTGAGGTGGTTGCAGAAGCACGGGCGAAGGGCTGGACGCGGGAGAACGAGGCATGTGGGTGACACGCGAGCATGTGACATGTGGCCGCCGAAAGCAACAACGCCGTTCCATTACATCCACCATGTCGAAACCGAACGCGCTACATAAAACAAGAACCGACCGTCCATGGTCCCTGGATGCTGGTCACAGGCCACGACGATAACTGTGGGGCAGCAGAGCATGGCACGACATAATCGACGGCGCACTCTCGGCGGCTCCCCCGCGACCAAGCTGTCAACAAGCTCTCAACGGCTCCCCCTTTCGACCCGACAGCCAACAATCCAATGAAGTTCCTGGTCCGTAGTCCGTCATACACACAGACACACAACGGCGCAGCGCAGCGTCCCTCTCGCCAAAGGGGCTGTGCCCGAGCGATGCCCCCCACGGGCCCCTGTTGTCCGGCAGCAGCGCGATGGCAAGTAAAGGGTTCCCGTGCGGGGCGCATAATCTCCCCCCTGCCATTCTGGCCCACCCCGTCGCAGCTCACTCTAACGTCTCCTCTAGGGACCCCACAGACGAATCCAGGCAACCAGAAGAGGCCGCACCCCTGCCAGCAATCGGACGTCGACTCTGGTTGGAGTAGGTGATTACATCAAATCGCCCAAAACTGCCACACCGCAGCGGCCACACCACGCCACAGGAACTGGGACAATGGAGCGGTGCGATTGGACTCGCACTTGAGCCCACTGACAGTACAACCTGTCCCGAAACTCCTCCTGCGTCGCCAACTCAAATCCACAACCGTTGTCAACTCGGTGGTACAGCCACCAGGGTCTTGCCCGCGCCTATTTCTCTACGTGTGAGTGTGCATCACATCCTGGGCTCCAGACAGACACCCGAACACATTTATTTTATTGGCTGTGCCACCATTCAAAATACAATTATGCGGATCGCTGGCAGTGCTGCCAGCAGCAAGCAGAAGCCACTCCTTGTGATCACCCCGCTGTGTCAGCCTTCCCTGGATTCGTCTGCATTATTGTTCTCAATAGCGCGGCCCGCATGTGATTAGTCATCTCGCCGCCCACCTGCTAAACTGAGCGCAACATGCATCGTTCTCGTGAGTGCAGCAGGGCCACACAAAAAGTGTCAATCATCCCACGACATCAAGCTCCTGGCCCCTCCTAACTATACTCCCAAAGCCGCACAAAGAAGTCGAATCCCGGCACAGGGCGGGGGTGTTGCATGGGAAGCCTTTCAAGGATCCCTCACCATCCATCCCCCAGGTCGACAGCACAGCAAAACTCCGACAATACCACGTTTGCTTCAAACACTATGAACAGCATGGAAAACCACCAACAGATGTTCCACAGCTCACGGCTGGTTCTCAATTCTCATTAGGCGTTCCCCAAAATAAACATTGCGCGAAGCCAAGGATCCATTTTGCTGCATGCCTGGCGCCCGTGCGCACAAGCCAGCACCCACCAAGCCCAAGGCCTCAGAACGAAACCGAGTCCAATGCACACAAGATAAAGGTACAGCAGGCGTCCACAGAAAAGATACAACTTGCTCGTCAAGTCTGTCCTTGTTGTAGACACCCTATCTAGTCAGAAGCACGGTATGATCCAGTGATCCGTGGCCGTCGGCCACTGTCCATGTTCTGCCTGTCCAGGTCATCATCCGTGGCATCGTCGCTCTGGCTCCATTGTGGGTGCCCAGCCGCCGGTGGGCCGCTCACACGGTCTGCAGTGCACAAGCTAGTGCTTCAGTACAGCAACCGGCACTACGTGACACGGCTGCAAAGGTACAAGGGTGCGCCTTGCTGTGACAGTCCAGTACATGCTGACTTTAACACTGTGAACTTGTGGGCAAGAACTAGCGGCGGGCTGGAGGCACAGCAAGACCGGGGCAGGTGGATTAGCCATTCGAACCCTACAACTTCAACGCCGACCACGGCTGAGCAGTGGACCCAGCCACAGCTTGACACACCATCATCCAAAACCACTCGTTGCATGCGCACAGAATGTCCACACAAACTGTTGTGTCCAAACCACTCGCACATTCTCACTTGACACAACCTAGCACGGAATCAGCACGTTGCACCATATGCTTGGACGCTGCAAGGACTTGCTTTTCAACGCACTGCCCACCTTACACAGCAAAATGCCTTCAATACTGCCTCTGGCGGCAGCAACCAAAAGTGCACTGAATTCTGCACAAAGAATGCGCTAAGAATTCCTTTGCTGGTTTGTCTGGGCAGGTACTGGCTGGGTTGCCAAGAGCCGCACTGAAAATGTCCAACATGGGCTCCTTGGTCTACAGCATTAAAATGCAGTGGAACAAAGGAATGCAGCAGCAGCAGCAGCAGCAGCACGATCATCGACACACACCATGGAGACGCGGAATGTCTGAATGCACGATACCTTCCGCCCATCAGCCTTCACCAGAATGGACATGAACACACAGCACGCATGCACATCTTTGGCCGGGGCAGGACACTACTATGCTGCTCGAAATGCCAGTGCATAAGAAAGTCCCCATACCTGCTGGGTGGTCTCCATATGCAAAAGTTGGTGCACCCCGCCTCAGTGACAATCCAGGCTCCGGCGCCAGAGTGGACATCGAGTCTCTCTCCTCATCCCCATCGTATTCCCAATTGCCATTGCTCGATCCGATGCTTGCGGTGTGTCCCCTGGGAGGGACATCGTGAATGCGCCTGGGGCCAGCAGACATTCTGGCCCGATCCACAGGCTGCACCGTGCTGCGCCCAGTGCCGCGTGCCGATTCCCTCTCAGGCCCCTGAAAGGGCCTGCGGCTGTCCCTGTCTCGTGCGGGCTCCTGGGCTCCAGGGGCGAACCTCAAGCCACGCGGGTTGCCGTGGGCCACAGGGGGGCCATACCCATCCTCGATGGTGTCAGTGTCCTCGGTGTCGCTCGTGTCATAGTCTTTGGCCGCAGCGTCAACACCACGCCGGACTGATGCCTGGCTTGCTGGCCTGGAAGATGCCTGGCTCGCAGGCCTGGACGCCTGGCTTGACGGCCTGGACGACGAGGACCTCTCCAGCTCGAACATGATCGCCCTCAGCCTGTCGGTGATGCTCCTGAAGTCGGGCCGCTTCATGGGCTCTTGGTGCCAGCACTCCTCAATGAGCCTTGCATACTTTGTGGGCGCGGACTGGGGCACGGTAGGCCTGTCCCCTGCGACCACGTGACGAATGAGCTCCGAGCGCTTGAGGCCACCGAAGGGCACGGCGCCGGAGACGAGGCCCCACAGGATCATGCCGAAACTGTAGACGTCTGTGGCCACGCTGACAGCACCAGTGCTCAGGAGCTCTGGGGGCAGGTGGGCCATGGTTGCCAGCGACATGGTCTCCAGGAGCATGTGTGGAGCCACTCTTGGCCTCAGGCCGAAGTCAACAACCTGCACAAGGTCCAAGCAAGATAACCGTGAAATCGGCTTGGCTCGCCACACACTACAGGCACAGGGACTACACAGCAGCAGCCTGAAGAGGACACTCTGTCCAGAGACGGAACACAGCACACAACTACAGTTCTCCTGTGCTTGCTTTGGCAGTGGGAACTATCCATTCATTTCGATGACGAAAGTCACAGGATAAAATGCTCATAGTGCTTCTCTGCAGTATTGGAGCCTAAGCAGGCGTCTGGAAGGGGTGTCTCACAACATGGGTTGACACAAGCGCCCTTCAGAATACTGACCCCATGGGGCAAGGACAGCTCCCGCACCCAAACCATGAACAACCCTGGTAATTTGTACAACCACTGCCACCTATGGACCCCACTGCATACCTTGCAAACGAACCCACACGAGTCGTGGTGTGTCCTGTGCAGAAGCACATTCTCAGGCTTGAGGTCACCATGCACAACGCAGTGTGCATGGAGGTGCTCCATGGCATGTGCGATGTCAATGGCACGCATCAGGACCATGGGCATGTTGGGCTTCCTGCCGAGGCTGAAAAATTCACCGTGTTGCAGTGCCAGCGCCAGGGTCCCTCCATTGCAGTACTCCATGACAACGAATGTGTTTAACAGGTCCTCAGTACCTACAAAAAGTACCAGATTCGACTGAAACCCAGAATGGCAGAGTGGCTTCACTGGCAAGAAGCTGTGGGCTCCATTTGGCGCATAAAGAAGGCACAGCAGCCAGGGCTATGAGCCTCAGTGTTCAGACAGTGCAAGTCCCAACAAAAAGCTGGCCAAGGCATCCATAGCATAGCGCCTTGAACGCTGAAGCTCTCCATACAATCAATTGCCGCAGTCGGCTGGCATCGATGGTCTAAGTGGACAGCTGCGCTCAAACAAGATCTACAGGCACCAAAAAGCTTGTGGCACTCAATACACAGCGAAAGCTCGCACACCGCTGGGCCTCACACTACCAACAAAAACAGAGTGCATAGCCATGGTGTACAATCTTGCCACCGCCTCACACATCGCTAGAGCTCCATGGCTTACCTTCTTCAGCATTGAACCGGGGCAGCAGCGCAGCATTGAAGAGGTGCATCCCCAGGGGGTCAGGTGTGCTCGCCGATGTGGAGGCGCCCGACTCTAGGCTCTTGAGCCACTTCCGGACGACCTCAGGCTCGCACGTCCTGGCTGCGCACAACTTGACAACATTGGGGTGCACCAGGTCCTTGGTCAGATAATCCTCCATGGCCTCTCCGTGCATCTCCAACATCTCGGTGTCATGCTCTATGATCTTCATAGCGCACTCCATGTGCTTGTAGACGCCCTCGTACACGCTGGTATGGCCACCGTTCCCCAGCAGCCTGCGCAGCTGCACATCCAAACCCGCCAGCTGCAGCTTCACAGGCACGTCCCCGCCAGCCATGTCGGGATTGTACTCGCTCGGCGCTGCCTCGCTCATGGGCAGCTCTCGAATGACCCGAATGTTGCCCATCTCCGGCATGTCCCAGCTGGATAGCAGGCCGCTCACGCTGGGGCCACCGCCATATGGTGGGGGCTTCTTGCCCTTGACCATCATCTTGTTGGGGATCTGGTCAAAGGGGTTTGTGGGGTTGGCGACGTGGACGGCACCCAGCGCGGGCGACCCGCTGGCCTCACCGCTGTCGCTGTCGATCATCGTGGTGGTTATGAACTTGTTGCGCTGGCCGGTGTGCTTCTTCTTGTAAATCAGCAGCATGGCCACCAACAGGACGCCCGCCACGGCCCCGATGCTGGCCCACACCAGCATGTGGTTGTTGGACTTGGAGGTGGACGCGGGGGCGGACTCTTGCCCCGCTTCCAACGGGACCACGGTCGTGTCATCAGAGACGTCGCTCGTCGGCGGGCTGGGCGCCTTCTGGGGCAGGTTCTGCGCGTCGAACGGAAATCGACACAGCGGCGAGGCGTCCACCCTGGAGATCCTGTCCGACTGCTCCAGCACCGTCGCGTTGAGCACCCCGCACGCCACCAGGCTCTCGCACATGAACACCTGCACGCCGGCCTCCTCCTTCTCCACGGACTTGATGACGATGTGCGGCGACGCAACGGTGGAGTTGTTGCTGGGCAGGGTGCCGGCGTCTTCGTTCCTGGAGCGGGCGATGCGCGTGTGCGTGGGCGTGGACGGCGCCGCTGCCACGGTGGGCGGTGGACAGAGCTTGTAGTGTATGACCACGCCCGCCATGGCGAACATAGCGCCCTTGTCGCCGGAGATGAAGTTCAGGTTGGACAGGCGGCCGATGCTGTCCACGGTGCGCTCCACCAGGATCACGCTCTCGAACCTGAGGGACGCGTTGGCGGCGAGGTGGATCAGGTGGCCCGCGTTGTCGAAGTCGATGGACGGCAGGGGGGCGCCGCGCCTCTGCTGCGACCCCACCACCTCCACCTGGGAGATGACCGTGACCTCCTCGCTCCACTGCCCAGTGGAGCACTTCACCTGCCCGGCTATGGTGATGAGGACGAAGCCCTCGTTGGCGTTGGTGGCCAGGGCGGCCTGCAGATCCTCGCAGGTGGAGATGGTGAACACCGGCCCGCTGTGGTCCGCGGCCGCTGGCCAGGCGCAGCCTATGGCCAGGAGGGCCGCAATGAGGAAGGCGGGGGACGCCATGTCCGCGGTGCGCTTCCTGCGGGGGCGAGAAAGAACTTAGCCGAAGAACGGGGGGCCAGACAATGCACAGGAGAAGGTGACGGCGAGGGGGGCGACGGAGTGCCTGCAGCGCTCCGACCGCGCTTGCTCCCCATAAACCCAAGAAGGAAGCGGTCACGAAGAAACACCACGTGTCATGGTGCATCACCGATGGCCCGATTCCGGCTGTTCACGAGAGGCAACGAGATAAGAAAGAGTTGAGCCGCAGCATAGATGAGGCCGCGCAGCATGGGGCGCAACCACAGACGAGGGTCCGCAGGCCGCCGTCCCGCGCAGCCGAGGGTCAACTGAGCAAGTTCCGCACATGCACGCACGCCAGCACAAAGATCCCAAAACGGCACACGTCCACTGCGCTTGATGGCGGCGTGGGCGGAGCACGTGACAGGCGGGCAGGGGGCCGCCGAGGAGCGGGGCCCCACAGAGCAGGCACGACTCCCTTCAAGCGGTGAGCGAGTCCAACGGGCTACCGGAAGCAGGGATTGGCCGCGACTGCGATCACGATCTGCCGCCCATCACGGCACGCTGCGGCCCACCAGCACCTTCCGCGGCATCCTCGTACTGCAGGCCGGCATGGTCCCGAGACACCTGGGAGCCATGACGGGCAAATGCGGATGGCCGACGAACGGTCCCGCCCACCACCATGCCGAGCCCAGACCAGGGACCCCAGTAAGAGCGGACTGGCCGCGCGCCATTATTCAAATTGACCCCCCCGCGCTGCACCCGCCTCTTCTCTCCACCACAAACGGGCACCAGGCCCGTACCAAGTCGCAAGCCGCCCCGCATGGCCGACAGAAAGCATCCCAGAACTCTCCGCGAGCCTTGAGCGGTGCAGCCAGCGGTGCGGGGACACGGCAGGCCGCTCGCGGGCCGGCATGCGCCGGGGCGCCCCTCACCTCGGAAGCACCCTGCCGCCTCTGTTGTCAAACGTGGGGCACGCCCCCAAGCGGAAATCCGGGCGGCCGCCGCGGCGGGCGCACGGGTCTAGAGCTCTTCCCCACGGGATGTGTTCTCCGAGTCCGGGCAGCCAGCCTCCGGACAGCTCGTGCGATCTCCGGGCGGGATCCCACTAAAACTCCTCCCTGCCTTCCCTCTCCGGCCGCGGAAGCCGCGCCTCCTCCGTCCAAGGCCGCTTGGCCTCTTCCCCCCCCCGCGCGCGCGGCCAGTCAAGGCGCCCTCCGGTGGCGCCGCCGCAGCCTCCTTCCCTAACCGTCTCGGGGGGAGACAGGCGCGCCGCGTGCGTGCCCTGCGCACCCGGCCCCCGCGATTGCCGATCTGTTTGGGGTGCGGACCTGGGCCGGTGCCGCTGAGAAAAGCCCGTCATCATTGCACGTCGGCGCGGCTCCCTCGGATCCAGGGGCCCGGGGGCCCCTCGGTGCGACATGCGGGCCATCACGGGGAGATCCAATCAAGCCGAGCCGGGACGCCGTCCCCAATTGCGGGGATTGAGGCGCGCCCGGGTACCGCTGCCCTCCCGTGAGGACGTCCCATCAGGGGCATGGTTGTGGGCAGTGGCCGGAGGCATCAAACCTTACGCATCTGCGCCCGCGTGGGGCATTGGGTGTGCACAACGTTGATCAGCTGCGCAGTTGTCACCTTTTTGCAACCTTGCCGGTCTCACCGACCCACCCAGAAGTTGTTCCCGCGGGTGACAGAGACGTCATATTTACCAAACTCGCTGGTGTGCCGTTGCCATTTTGGCCGGTTCAGCGTGCCCAGTGACTGTGGGCAGGGCCACGTTCCGGACTCCTTTGCCCAATCTTATGTTAGAAAATTAGGGAGTGCGCTGTGTCGATTTTGGTATACTCACCGTCAAGTCGACGCTCAGCTCAACCGCCCCACATCGTCACAAAACTTGCCCTACCAACCCACACACCAAACCTTGTGCCGTGTGCCCATCATCCGACATTGGGCAACCCTACGTCACCTTTTCACGTTGTGGAAAAGAGTCTCACGCACAATTGCTTTAAGAGCATCTTTATCGGTGGGTGCTAATGTCCCGGCGAAGCTATTCGGCTATCCGAATAGCACCGCATGTCAAAAAAACATCATTAACGGTGGGGGAGCAATAGCACCCCAATAGCACCCCTGGAGCTATTCGGCACTGAGCGGCGCTATTTTGGCCCCGAATAGCACCGCTCGGGGCCGAATAGCACCCCAGAATAGCTCTGGTGCTATTCGCGCTGAACAGTGTAGTGCTGCTGTGGTGCTATTTGGCGTAGGCATAGCACCCGCCATTGCGGATGCGCGTAGGGGAGCAATAACACCGATGCTATTCGGCAAATGGCGCCTTAGTAAGGTGGCACGGCAGCCAATGAGAACCGTTCCTGGATAGCTCCGCCGGTGCAATAGCACCGACCGATAAAGATGCTCTAAGAGGGGTGACTTTGCCACCCCATTTTCTTTTGAAGCGTAACTTCTCGCTGATGCTGAACTGAACTGATTGCACAATGGCTTGCAGAAGACACTTTGGAACGTTAGGTATTTTAGGAAATAGCCACATTTACTGTCCGTCTGCATGCGCCCTTGCATCAGTTGTTTGCGCGCTCGCATCAACTGACTCCCCCTCGAGGGAATAAGCTTATCGTGGTGCCACCACGGCCAGATTAACCACAAAATAGGGTACTGAGGCCTTGGAAATCCTCTAAATAGTCCGAAAGACCACAAAGGTGCGCGGGCAATTAGGACATGCATTGCACGAGTTGGGTGATTTCAGAGCGATTTGACAAGTTTGGGATGATGCCTCCGGGGTGGATAAGGCAACCGTGAAATGACATGCGATTGTGCCGGACGTGGCCATCACTTGTCCCATTTGATGTGGCTTGGTGAAGGACGCTCAATCGGACGTAATGCGTGCGCATTTGTGTTGTCCAAGTCAGGCTTGGCATTTATGCTGTAGACACAAACCGTATTTACAATATTACATGTAAAAAATAGTTTTTCGTTTTTATGTGTAAAAACGCGTAAAAATAAGTAAATACAGCCCGGTGTACATACGGACAGTATACTCAGACTTGGGGAGTCCGGGGAGTGGCAGTCAGACGCTCTGGAATGGGTAGAAAATGAAGTTTTGTTCCATGCCGTCGTTGTCCTTGCCGGGGGCGAGGTGGGCACTGTGTTGCGGGTGCTGGAGATGGCAGAGCACTGATCATTGTCTGGGACGTTTATCGTGTGTTCTGCGTGTGCCAATGAGCCATGAAACCGTAAAATAGCCAAAAACGTAGCCCCATTCTCAAGTTTACGTTTTTACGCGTAAAAACGGAAACGCAAAAACGTAAACGTGAACGTAAATGCCAAGCCTGGTGCAAGTGGTTGTGATAATCCAAATACGCAGCCCATACACGCCTGAGGCTCCAGAAACTAGCAGCAGAACCATCTATTGTGCCACCACTGCTTGCCAGCGCCAGGACCACGGATCAAAACCCGTTAAGCATTGGACCCACCTTGTAACCTTGCAACCGTGCAAGTACATGCCCTGAACACTCCCACCTCCCCACGTGGAGAGCGGCCGGCGTCTCAGTCAAGCGCGTCTGCAGGCGGGGAGCATCCATGACATCCGGAAGCCAACGGCCACTGACAACCCTCAACAGCGAACTTGGATTACAGCATGGTGCAAAAACACGTTTGTCCACAACAAGACAAAAGTTGACGGCCGCGTCATTCCCACGAAATAGACGTTTCTCAGGTAAAACTTTCAACCAAGAAAAGTCGCCTTTAGGGTGTATGCTCCAAAGAATCCATTGCCGCCTTGTGTGCTGTCAGGAAACGTTAAAAGTCTGCCGTTCAATGTCTAGTCTGGAGGCCTTGGATTGGACTTGCTTCAAACACCAGGACCCCATGCAGGACTTTGGGCCCCACTCTTGGCTGTTCTCTACAGTCCAAACTCCCAGAACGAGCCCCGCAGCCCGCCGCCGGCGCCCAGTCGCTACTGCTGCGCCCCGCCCGCCAGCTGCGCGCTCGCGCTGCGCCTCACTGACGGCCTCCTGGCCGTCGCCAGCGCCGGCCTCCCGGTGGGTGCTGACGCCGTTCGGTGCGGCGCGCGCAGCACCGTGGCCAGCGTCGATGCGCGGCGAAAGGCATGAGCCGCATTGCTCCTGGAGCCGCTCAGCCGCCGGGCGCCAGCCGCGGGCTGGTCCTTGATCACTGCCGCCGGCGGGGGCCTGCTGGACAGCGCCCGGCTCAGTGCGGATGCCAGCAGGGGCTCCCCGGGCCCCGGGGACCGCGGCGAGGCCTCAGAAGAGGGAGACGCAAAAGTGCCATCCTCCTCCGCCACGAACTGAGGATCAATCGACTGCTGTGTGAGCTGTCGGGCCAGCTGGCCGCCCAGGCGGTGGTCATCTCGATGGGCGCCGTCCGCGAGCGATGCCTGGCGCAGATGGGACACGGTGCCCTTGTGGCGATCGTCACCAGCGCGGGAAAGGGAGGGGTGGGATGCGAGCAGGTCGGCCGGCCTGGTTGCGGCTCGCGTCAGGTTGACGGGGACGCGGGGCGCGACGCGGTCAGGCATGTGCTCGGGGTGCGCCGACTGCTGCAGCAGGGACTTGAGCGACTCGCTGATGTTGTGCATGCTCTGCCGCGCGGCCTCGCCCAGGCGCGTCTTGTTGGAGGTTATGTGGTCGTGCAGCGCGTGGACCAGCCGCAGGATCGTGGCGTCGCGCTCCGACTGGTACTGCCGCCACTCCTCCCTGCCGCGGACTGACCGGCGCGGACAGCAGTGCTGGTTCAATCTCTTGGCAGTGCTGAAAGGCGCGCTTCTTAGCCGTCATCGCCAAGAGATGTTGGACACTTGGTTCAGAGAATACAGCACATGCAACACTTGACATGCTTCTGCACGGCTTCGCTTTGTCGTGCAACAATTACGCTGGGGGGAAGAAATTTCATGCGCTGCACCAATGGGATCAACAACACTGGCAAGGGGTTGTTTAGAATCAGAGGTTCAGATGTCAAGGACCAAAAATTCCATGGACTTGTAATAACCACATGTGATGCGGATTGAATGGAAGGAAGTGTCAATAGTGGCCACCAGTGCTTGCAAAAAGTAGCCACAGCTGCGCGAAGCCAGTGGATGATTGCAGTGCACCGCCATAGACACAAGCGCCCAAGATGTTGCCTATTATGTATCTTTAATTCTGGCATTGTAGGAGGAACTGCAGCTTCGAAGGCATGAAATTATGGCAGTCTCTGGGAGGATCTAGAAGTAACCCCTCTCTTGGGGAATATTTGTATTGATACAATTGGTGCCATGCAGCTACATGGGGCCAACAACATATTCAATGAGACGTGGCTGACGCTTGTTCAGTGCACTGTGCTGTTAATGGCGTAATTCTGGCATTGTAGGAGGAATTGCAGCTTCGAAGGCATGAAATTATGGCAGTCTCTGGGAGGATCTAGAAGTAACCCCTCTCTTGGGGAATATTTGTATTGATGCAATTGGTGCCATGCAGCTACATGGGGCCAACAACATATTCAATGAGACGTGGCTGACGCTTGTTCAGTGCACTGTGCTGTTAATGGCGTATTTTTCATACCGATTGGTGCCAAACAAGCAACACTATCAATTGGCGGCTTCCAGTCTAATGCGAATCTGTCCACAACTCCATAGTCCAGTTCACGCTCAATCATTACCTGCGATCGGCAGCGAGGAATCACAAACATGTGTGTCCAAGCTTTTGTCAACATAACATTTGCCCATTTCATGTGCACTTGCATAGCAAACGCGCATCAGAAACCAGACCATGCATTCTTCCTAACTATTGGCCACCTTGCGCCTCGTGCACTTCGTTGCCTTTGTCCACCAAAAGAGCTGCACCGAAAACGAAAAAGCATCAGTAACAGCTTACCACAACCAAGAGAACAGTGCACATATTTCAAGCACGGCTTCTCTTGCAATGCAACAACAACGGTCGACTTGTGCATCTCGCTTTTGTCCTGATGTGGCATCTCTGCCGACCAAGTGCGTTGCCCGGTATCATCACAGCATGTGCGAAGTACATTCTATCGATGCATACACAACTCCAATGAGAACATCGCAACAGGCAAGTAAAGAACACGGACGGATGATATGCCCAATACGTATGCAGTACTTCTAGCCAAGAACGCAGCACCCAGTGCATTGATACGGGCTGCCAGTTGCGCCATGCATTCACAGGTTCTCACCTTCCAGCTCCTCCACCTGCCTCTCTTTTTCCTCGACCAGCTCTGCGGCGAATCGCACTGCTATTACTGTGCTGAACAATCCAGCCCCGCACAGCCCAAATCATGGCATATCGTAGCATCCGTATATTGTGCATCAGCACTGCGATCGTAGCGTCGATCCTGCTTCTCTGCTGCGCAGATTTGTGTGTGCAAACTGAAAGAAACACTGGTGGGAAAAAAAGTGACAGCGGTCGGCTGCGACTTGGACGGTTTTCGACAGTGGCTACACATCTACTACACGGCTTTTTTCCTGTTTAGAATCGATTAACACACGCAGTTTAAATTGTTTGAAATGTCCCATTTCTGCAAATGAAATACAGCCGCCAATGTAACCCAGCTTTATCTCACATGTGGGCTCACCTTCCAACTGCTTTGATCGCTTCTCTCTCTCTTCGCTCAAGGCTGCAAAGGATATAGCGTCAGAATAGCATCCGCAGCGAATGTGACTGAATCGGAAGTGGTTAATTACTTTGGCGACGCATAATTGTGAGTTAATTGAACTCAAGTAGTCAAGAAATATATAGATTTCGACCCACTCCACCCCAAATTCGCCCCCTTCTGTGTCAGCACATTTGAACCTGTTTTGCAGTTCTCAGATGCTGAACACAATTCGGTAGTGCCTGTAGCGAAATACGGTACCAGAAACATGATTGAGGCTACATGATGTCAGCCCCGTATATGCAGAACTTACAGTACAATGACACAAGTTACAGAAAGATTGACAATGACGCAAGTTAAAGCAGCGTATAAGCATGTAAACAGAAAGGATGAGTAAAATTGCATAGCAACATGCCTGTGCATGATTAAAATCTGAAACACCAATAAGTTGCAATTAAAGCGATGCTCTATGGCTGATAATAACCTGTACGCAAAATTATCCTCAAGAAACAGGCATATTTCATTAGTGCACATACTATATGGACACTACTAGGATTCGCTGAATGATTGTCAATTATTTTGTCATTTATGAATCCATTTCACTGGAACAAGGAAAGCCGAATGCCAGTGTTTCCACGGACTTACCTGCTGCCAGCTGAATCTCCCGGTCTTTTTCCTCGTTGGCAGCTACAAAAGAAATGATGGCATTTAGGACTGGACATCAGCAATATTGAAATGTATTTCTTCCATAAGCAAAGGACGCATGTCCCACAACAAACAGACTCGCTTGCAAAATGGCGCTTTGAAACTGGTACATAGATGTCTCTCGAACTCATAAATGCGCTGTTGGACAACTGAAGGAGGGAAACGAGGACCAATATGTGCCGTATTGTTGTCTTCTCGCCATCGTCAACCTTGGGGACGGAAGGTCCCAAAGAATCACTTTCTGCAAAATGTGTTCAAGTGCATGTTGTGACAAGGGACATATCTTTTTGGCGCTTCTCACCTTGAGCTTGCCGCAGTAACCCCTCCTTCTCCTCCAGGAGTGCTGCAAATTTAGCATTCACAGTTGATGTCAATGGCTAGCCGTGTACAAGCTTCATTCAAATTTGTGCTGAAATGATCCCCGGACTTGTTGAGCAGGCAAAGGGTGGCGGCAGCGAGCTTGAGGCTGGGTGGCCACTTGCCACAGATATTACCTCTGCATTAGAGCGCTTGCAAGCGCTCCAATTGGATGGTGCTCCGAGGCATTATTTTTTCACAACCATCCAGTACTAAACAAGGAATGAATTCCCTGTGTAATGTTCCACTGCATTTGGCGCTACCCACCTTGTGCCTCTTCAGCAGCTCTTTCCTTTTCGTCCAAAAGCCCTGAACAGACACATGATCTTCTAACTGCACTTCAGACAATTGAGCAGTTTTGGCACTGATTCCTCATTACATTGCCCGTTTTCTACATTCATCAGCATCATATCGACGTTTAAATTTGCGATTGCATGCAAAGGAAATCTTTATACGTCTCGCATAGCCTTTCACTGGTGATATTACCATCAAAAACAAGTTCTGCACTCCATGATCATATTGTAAGTGTACATTGCTAATGCGCAAACAGGTTCCACAGTACATCATGCGATCAGCAAGTCTCAATTATGGACCATGCTCTGGAGACTTTCGAGGAGCAAGACAACTTCCCGCCGCCCGGAATCACAAAAGCAATGTATAAAAACATTCGGAGTGGAGCACCGCACAGCATTGAAAACTCCCAGCGGTTTTGCAATGAGCCAGTGGCGAGGAGGACACCGATTAGCGGCTGCAGCTGGCGAAACTGAGGCACACCCTGCTTGTTGGCAAGGGCCGGACAGTGGTCCGGGGATTCGCTAGTGAATGGCAGGTTTATGCCTCGGGGACGGGGAAAGCTGGGACAGATGCCCTTCTTTAATTAAAGCTCTTTAATTAAGGATTTAATCCCTTTATAAAGGGACCAAATCTCGCCGCCACACCGTTGCCAACTCACGAACAGAACGCAGCGCCGTGTTTTGGACGTCCGTGGATGATCTCAAAGGATACACAATGTTTTTTCAACATTTCATATCATGCGTAGGTCCCTTGGGAAGTAGGGATACATAAAATCAGGCTTGGTTTTTGTGCCGTAAAAACTGATCGTATTACCTCTATACGCGCAAAAATACTTTTTATGTTTTTGCTTATAAGAACGCATAATAATACGTAAATGCAACGTAAATATAACCCCGTATACATAAGGACAGTACATACAGATTTGGGTTTTTTCCGGGTAGTGGCCATCAGATGCGCTGGAATGGGTAGAAAATGAAGTTTTGTTCCGTGCCGTCGTTGCCCTTGCCGAAGGCGAGATGGACAACTGTTGCAGGTGCTGGAGATGACGGAAGACTGATCATTGTACGCAACTTTTGTCACACAACTTGGGTGTCCTAACGAGTGGCAAAACGTAAAAATAGCCGTACAAATACCATCTTTCCCAAATTTGCGTTTCTACACTTAAAACGCAAATGCAAACGTCAAGACCAAGATTGCACAAAATCCAGTATGCATGCGATCCTCAGCATGGCTGTGTTCGACCCAGCTCTGTTGTGCTTGTGCCGCACCTTCAGCCTCATCCACCTGCCTCCCTTTTTCGTCAATTAGCACTGGAATGCAACACAACCTGTTGTGGTCAATATTTGTCAATGGCTTAGGGACGGAAAAATGCGCTGTTATGAGCTGTCATGGGGCACAGCTCATTTCACATGCGCCCTCAGATTTTGAAGCGAATGGCAGGCTGTTTTCAAGATACTTCCCGACCGGGGCGAAGTCTTTCATTTTGTTGGATTCCGATTGAGATGCAACATTACGGCGCACGTATGTCGCCCACCTTGAGCCTGGGCGAGGATGTCCTCTTTCGTTTCTGCCAGACCTGCTGAACATCGCCATCCTCCATTCTTTAATTTCCATCAAGCGATCTCAATTCGACTTCAGTGGGTGTCTACACACGATCCCCTTTGGAAAAATCTTCAATTTGTGATCACAACGGGAAAACGTACTCCGAGCACGCTTAAGAAGGGCTTGGTTTCATTTGGCAATCTCACTGCGCCATTTGCATTGCATCGTTTATATTCAAAAGTTGTGTCAATCCTGTGAGCTAAGCCTGATGCATTCCTTAAATCCTCACATTTGTCAAGCCGAAATCTTTCCCTTCTTTCATGAGCATCCAATCTGCGAACTGGACTCCTGCTGAATTGTCCTGTATGTATCCTTGTGCGCAATGCAGAATATGGCAATCCACAACAGAACAATTCTACTGCTGTATGGTATGTATGGTATATTGATACAAGTTCGCTCGCGATTCTAACACTCTGGACTATATCATTCGCACAGTCTAGGAGTTGCCCAAAAAAGCAAAGAATTAATCCAACTTCCTTGCAGGATACATGAAGATACATGATTGACTGAAGTTCATCTCTCCCTCCATGATTCATTACATTGACTCTGTTTCCGCATGGAACCAAAATGTCGATTCTTTTGATAGTACTATTTGTCTAGTATGTTGCACGTCCTCGCCGATTTAACTTCATCGACTTGATGGTCGGCTACGAAGCTGCGCAGGCTCTAGCTGCATTTCCTAATGGAGTGCCTTTCTTTGAGTGAACACTGCAAGAAATTGCACCTTGGAGCTCAATATTTACGTTTTGCTGATGAGAGAGTTGTCCCATGAGGTCACCAACAACCCCGTTCACCAACTCCTTCAAGCTCACAACCTCTGAAAGAAGGTTGTCATTGGAAGACCTGACATAAACACGAAATCGACTGGAATAAATGCAGTATCCTGGTGCGAACAAGCAGGTACATGCAACAGAAGTCTTTTTTGGAATTTGTTACATCAATAATTTATGTCCCAACCTGCGCCATGACGTTGAGATTGTATTTAAATTGGACTATTTCATGACTTCATGCTAAGCAGAGAGCATAGGCGTCTATCACCATTTCAATACATGCAACCCAGGAATTATCCCTGTATGTACTGCATGTACCGAATTCGGTACATGCAAACACACCTAGCATACTCTTGCAAATATGGTAGAACATGATCAATGAATGAATTAAGCAAATGGACAACATCCATGTACTACTTGTTATACGCTAATCAAGCCAAACAAACTTTGCCTTTAAAGCTACACTCTGTTCATTGCTAATTAAAATCAAGCAACGTTCAGCTTAGAACTGGAGCAATGCGCACATTTTGCACACTGAGCAGGCTACTCTTCATTCGAGTTAACGTACCTAACCTTGTCAAATTCCCTTTGGAAGCTTTTTCCAAGAAACGACAAAACCTTGGCGTCCTCCATTTCGCGATCTGTCATCTTCAGCGTCTGAAGAGTTTTCTCAACCCAAGCCGACAGGGACTTTGTGCAGCCTGTGGGCGAAATAAAACTCTCGGAATCGAAGTGCAATTGACGAGATTGCAAGCTGCCGGATCGCCTTCTTCTCCCATGGCAGCGAATATCAAGAATATTCCCCTTTACGTAGGATCCGGAATGACCCATTCACAAACCAGGTAATTGCCATCTTCTGTTCAGAAGAAGAGCATTCGCACACGCAACTCTAATTTTGCTGTGAGAAACCATTGCAAACGAATGATGCAGGGACCATGACGGCCATTGTTTCAGAGCCAGTTTTGGAGAGCGCTCGGCACTGCATCCCACATGCCTACCTTTTGCTTGCATCTCTATCAGCCGTGCCAGCCCCCTTGCCCGCCTTATGTCCGACTGATTTTCTTCGCACTTCTCTGCCAGCTTGAAGATCGTTCTCACGGCGACCTCCACCACTGGATTCGAGGCATCGCCATCCATCAGAAGGACCAGGCGTGGTATGGCCCCAGCTGCCCTCACAGCCTGCTTGTTCCTCGTGCTCCCATCCACCAAGTTGTGAAGGGCCGCCGTGGCGTAACAGGTGATTGGCTTGTGGGCATCTGCGCCCCGTAAGCATATTTGCATTAGTGATACTGACGATAAATTCGACTTTGACGTTGCTGTGAGCCTCTTCCGGGCAAACTTGGGCCGACAAAGTACAAGGCGTATTCCAAACTACTGGGGGGTAAATCCTTATGGTGCCTATTACTGACTATCACGCCACCACCGTTTCGAAAGTAGATAGCATGAAAATTCTGTCAATTTGAACCACCAGGTGCACGTGATATGCTTAAACGTGCTATGAATATGTGTTGAACGCATCGATGTCAGTATTCAGGACTCAAATCGCCACTTTACCCTACGGCACACCTCCATCTCTCACGATTATTTATATCACCAATATTATTGCTACTACCATCGCTCTCGTTTTATCAATGAGCTAATTATTGCTGTTAGCGGCAGTCTTGATTTTTAATAGTAACATAATGTGCCATAACGCATTACATTCCCAGCGCATGTGATGAAATGTACACTCTACAGAGGGCACCACTTGCCAATGCACGCCTTTAATCTGTTTCTCATTTTGCATAAATGAATTTAGCCACCTCCTGCGAAGGTATCCTGTGCATGGAATTTCGCCCTCCGGAGGATTCTTCGCTTTCAGGTGCCCCAAGGAGCTCTCGCTTTGTCATACTGTGCTGACGCCCATTCAGCCAAATGCATTTCTTCACCCCGTCATGGAACCCGCATCAATCAGTCGCATCAATGCTCAGCAGTGAACATTTTGAGTACGCCGTCTTTGAACGCACATCAGCCAGCCATGTTACTCAATCTCCGAATTCAGCCCGCGTTGCACAGCCAAGCTGGCCGCGGCCAGGGCGCCTCACCCGCGTGCAGCATGCGCACCAGCAGCGGGATGCCCCCCAACCGCCGCACGGCCGCCTTGGTGGACGCGTCCTTGTGCACCAGGTAGCCTAGCGCCGCTATGGCGTCGATGGCCACGGGGCTGTCCTCCCCCATCTGGATGAGCCTGACCAGGGGCTCCACGGCCCCGGACTGGCGGATGGACTTGCGGGTGGCGGGGCTGTCGTTGGAGAGGTGGCGCAGGATCTTGACGGCGTTGGCCAGGAGGGTGTTGTTGGACGGGTCATGGTGCAGGATGTCCACCAGGACGCCGACGCCTCCCGCCTGCCTTGGGAGCCCAACGAGCGGGACTTATGACAGCGCCTTCGCAGGGTCGCGCTGGACCGTACAGGGTTTGGAGTGCCAGGATGTGGGCGTGCGTTACTGCGGTGTGTGTTCGAGGACGTGGGGGAAACGAGGCAAGTGCGGGAAGGCCTGCTGGTACGATATGGGCGCAATTAGGGTGTTGGTGCAATGCCATTGAACACACAGCAGTCTATCGCACCAGCGTCAGTAACAATGCCTGCTATGTTTTTTAGTGGCGCTGGTACAATAAAGTGAAGTAGTAAATGAATTATAGGTGAATTCAGTGCCAATTAACGCAGAGCCCTGCATCCTTTTTCCTTGGATGTGTAGTGGGCACAAGGGTGACTTCTTTGAGGAAATCTGACCGGTGAAGGTCGGCTGATGACTTTGTTTCATTATTTTGATATTTTGCTGTTATTTAATGCCATCATTTCGATGTTACATTTACAGTGCGATTTCAAGCGCCAAATTTGAGATTCTGATGAGCCAGCAGAGGTCCACAAGTTTGAGGCACCGGCGTGGCTCACAAGAGAACGGGAAGCAATCCATGCATGCAAATCGCCAAAGACTCTGTATGGGGCTTTGCTGCAGCAACCACGTTCTTAAATGAAGCGCATCCTCAGGCGATGCGATTCATCATCAAGCAATTTGCGGCTTCCTCGAAACGTGAAACGTTCAATATTTCGGGCTCTATTAAAGTTGAACGAGGGCATTGGAAACGGTGGCACCATGAGCCACATTCGCCGCGGCTGGGTGCAGTCCAGATTGCCCTTTTCAAGCCCGAAATTAGCAGCGCAGAAACGCGCATCTACAGAGAGCACAGAGCTTACCGCATGGCCGTTCTGCATTCAACGTCGCTGCTGATGAAGGCAAGAATCCGGAGAGATTCCTCTTTTGCTGCGCACACCACACCAGATGACTTCGCTCACGTCATTTGCATGATCACTTGCCCACATTACTCCGTGCGTCTTCTCAGGGCTGCCAATTGATCTATGCAAGCTGCTTCTGCAGCACCTTGTGTGCAGGCAGGTGTACACAAGACAGGACTGTCAGCGCGATCTTCATTGTCTGTTTATTTGATAACCGTCTCATTTTCCCATTTATTCATTTGTTTGTTCATTCATTCGTTTGTCTATTAATGTGTTTCACAGTCTGGGTGCCCTCTTTTGCTGAAATCATCGTTGACATTTGATCAGAAATCGCTGAGGAACTCCTGCCAGAGCATGGCTCTTTCGTCGAGCTTGTAAATCAATTGCCGCTTGTGGTTAAACTTCGAACAAGTGACGGGCCTCACCTCCCATATTGGAGGACTGCTCCAAAAGCTCAAACAAAGGCGCAACGCTCTCCACATTTCTGAACCTCTCCATCCGAATCCCCCTCGGCGCTTCCACGGTCATCTTGCCTTGGGATCCTTGGATCCGTGTGGCCGGCGGCGAGGCAACGCGATCGGGCGGTGTCACACCGCACGGAGTCTACCACCGAGTGAGCGCCGCGGCAGCCTTTCTTCTGCAGAGTTGTCTCTGTCTGACCTCAGATATTCTGTTTTGTATTGCACAGGCAAATGATCCAAAGGCGTTGGGCTGCTTATTTTGGGCTGCATTCACATACGCAGGGCCGCAGACGCCCAGTGCTTGTTCGAATTGCTGAGGCAATTGATTAACTGAAATCAAATTTAAGAAGCAATTTCTGCTTGTCAGCTCTATGTAAATCGGGTGCCAGCTAGGATCCACGTGTGCATACCTATATACTATAGTGCACTGGGTGATTACATCTTTTTCCTGTGCGTCCTGTGACTGCGTCTTTGTCTTTTGAGGTATTTTCAAGCGCTCAGTAAGTAAGTTCGACGGCAAGCGCGTCGCACGTTTTTGAGGCCAATTCGGATGCCCTTCTGCGATTAAATCACATTGCCATCAACTGGAAATATCCAAAATTGCCACCACAGTTTCCGCCCGTACAGTGCTTTTCTCGGAGGCTAATAAACTGCCTCAGTGGTTTGCAAGTGAAAACGCATATTTCCACCTAATATGCTCTGTACAAATTTTGCAAGTGCAAGGTTGCTAGATGCACAGCCTTAAAATTGTGCGCGGGAAATGCACAAGGCGAACTTATTTGGATCTCCAAATGCGGTATCCAGTATGCAGGAAGGCCAGCGAACCGAGCGGTGCTTTACCAACATCCACAGCGGTAGACTGCAGTCACGTAAACGATGCCTGCAAGTCCAGTTCTGGGTAAAGAGGGCGGACGAATGAGCAATTGATGCTCCCCTGTTCCTCTCACCACGCCCTGTTGGCCTTATTTCGTTGCCTGGAGCCCTTGCAAGATTCAATTTCTGTCTCTCACTCAAATATTCTGAACCGGAGGGACAGTTGTCGTTCGCGGCTGCCACGCTCACCACAGGAGGCTCCTCCCCCCACCCCGCTGTGCGCTAATTGTCGGTCTGATCGTGCGTTGATGTCAACGAATCCAGCCTCCCGCTGCTTCGCATTGCATCAGAGGCGGCTCTGGCTGGCTTTCATTCAGCCCCGGTGCATTCGGGCGTCGACATTCAAATGATGCTCTTATGAAAAAAATGTACGGCTCCCGCCCCCCTTGGAAAAACAATGCACAAGGGGCAGCCCTTGCGTCTTTGCGGGGACACTCCTGGGGAAGTGCTTCGCGCGATGGGGGAAATAATACGCACCATTTGCCTTCCTCGGTATTGTTACGATATCCTGTCTGTCGCGTGTACCACAAAACTGCACTCATTTTGTAGTACAGTCCTAGCAAAGCACGAGTTTGCGAAAATCCACACAGCTTGAGCGAGGATCGAAGTTGGGTGATGTCGCGGCAGGACGAAAATTTTCCTCAAATTAATATGACTGGTCAGCTGAGCAATACATATTGACATTCTGGTGCGCGTAGGAGAACACATTAGTATTATACTTACTATTCTATTCAATAATGTACTTAACACAGAAATTATATGATTTGAATGTCCCTTGATGCGACCAATATGCACCAACCTAGTAGTTGACTCCTTACGGCGCCTTGTGAACGCAAAACTGATCCCGCGAGATCAGAGTGCTCCAGGATTACCGGCCGATGAATCGAAATCCACAATAACCAAGAAAGCGTACAACGCTCGCACTGTTGATTCATCTGGCTAAAGGTTTAAGATGATGTGTTCAGAAATTAGGGAATCCTGTACACAAGAAGCAATGTAGAATTTATAAACACAAACCGCGTGTTTCATGCTTGTGGTGTTGTGTTGCACAGGCAAAATATCATCAAATACATGGAGAATATCATAAGGAAGGATTGAATGGCTCCAAATACATGCAAAAAAACTGCATAACATTCATTTAATATAATGGAAATACTAATTCTACTGGAATGATGTCGGCGGAGTCGGCTAAATACATCAAACGTGCCCTTGCACATATTCAAACTGCAAATAGTGAAAGTTCTGTGATGGGATTCTCAACCTTCATGTCACGTTCCTGGTCGCCACACGTAAACCCTCGGCCCAGCATACTGGCGTGAAATACCCACCCCAGAAGGAGGTCCAAGGGTGCAGCACATGTGCACAGTGCTACATTACTGTGCACAGTTCCGGCTGAAGGACGTTGGCATTCGGTAACACCAGTATTTTGATACCAAACGGGCCTGCCCTCACTTCTCAATCGGACCGCTGTTGAAAACCACCAAGATCTTGAAAAGAATGGCCTATTTATATCACCTAAATGGGAATATCGTCCTGCACGCTCCTGATGTTGAGAGCAAAGCCACGCTTTGTTCGTCGCACTGTGCCGAAGTTCTTGGCATCTTCAAACAGGTGAATGTTATTGTACTCCTGCCGTCCGCTCGTCAAATTCAATCGCTGCTTGCAGCGTCTTCACTTCTTGCATCTCCTTCTTCTAGGCCACTGTTGTTGCATTCTCTTTGTGCTCTTCCCTTGTGGAACGTAAAGTCTGGCGGCTCTCCAGTGCCCCTTTCTTCCCAATACAACAATTTATTTACTGAGCAGCTGCACTGCCGCTCCTCCCACAAGCTCAGACCGCCACACCAACAGCAGACCGCCGGGTAGGCGGTCCGCTGCTTGCGTCTCTTATGCCATGGATTCAAATCCCAAAGCCTCCCCGCGTTGGGAGCCGATGCGAACTGCAAAGCCTACGGATCCGTGAGTTTCGACTCGATATATCGAATATATGGCATTTGCCATTCCTGCTCATGGCTGCAATCACGGTAATGACTCTGGACGCACATTCAGCACCCCATCTCCAGTCCCCCTTCTATATTCTTAGTCATGACTCTTCTGTCCCTTTCGCGCCTGCTCCACACCGTGCTGCCTAATGATGGCACCCAGATCCGACACGTAATTGCTGATGACCTCCAGCTGCTCCAGGGGGTTGGCCTCCGGCGCGTGCGCAATGCTGGAGCACTGGCGGCAGCGGTTGAAGATATTGTCCGACGACATGATGACTTGGCCGTATTCCAACGTCTTCTGGGACGCCACCTGCAGGCTGTAGTCCTTGCGTGTCTCGTGCGCGAGCGCCTCGCCCTCGTAGCTCTCCAGCTCCTTCTTCAGGTTGGACACGCGGTTGTTGAGGTTCAGGATTTCGTCTGTCTTCTGCTGCATGTACGTCTGCAGCTCTGCCCTGTGCGAGGATGGGTGGCGCGCAGTGGTGAGTCGTTGATGCCACCCGGGAATCACCTTACATTAGGCAGTGAAGGAGCATATAGTTGTAAGAAATATACACACGTCTCGGTACTGTGACCTGTCATAGACCTGGGCAGATCATGTATGGCGGAAGTTCCGTAGAACTTCTGTCAGCGCGAAGCCGGGGCAAACAGACACGCAGGGCCCAGTTGTGCAAACACTGTGGTCCCAGGAAACATCCGCTGAAGCGCAGAGAGATTCTGCTCTCCACAGGGGCATGACCAAATGCATCTGGACACTCATGTGTGCGTGAGAGGGACAGGTCAAAGACGTGTGCTTGCCTCAATTTGATTCGGTTCCACTCGCCTTGGGGATGTTGAGAAGGGCAGAACCACTATTCATGCCACGTATGTTACTGGGACAGCAAATGAGCCTCGCTAAAGTGGAAAGGGTAGCAACATCCGCGTTTTGCTTCCCATAGGTTCCCGCAATCGCGGCTGCATCGCCCGCGGCATGTCTGCCGATTCATGCAGACGGTATGTTGCGCACCTTGTCTTCTCAGCGGCCTTCTCGCATTGCCTCTGGTGCTCCGCCAGGTCGTGGTTCGTCACCTTCAGTGTGGCGTACCTCATCAGCAGTTCGGGGACCTCCTGGTACTCGTCCACGACTTCCAGGACGGTCTCGAGGTAGTGCTGGTACCTGCAATGCAGAGCAGTGCCTCACGTGCATGTACCCCCGCTGACGTACTTCACCCTCACATTTATTGTACCAACGTCAGTGACGAGCAATGCGGAGCATATCAAACTGCTGCCCATTGGGTACGGCTACAGTTTTTCGAGCACACATCATCAAATGTTGCTGGCAGGATGTGGCTAGCGTGCGTTCCCACCAATTCCCTGATCGCAACCAAGCCGTTCCTTTACTTCACGTGCTGAATGCTCTGTGCCAAGCCAACAAACAACTCAGGTGCCGCGAGGTGTGTCAATATAATGTTGAAATTCAATCTAGTTTTCACTGGTTTCCATCGTCCAGCAACATTTTACCCACATTTGCTACTTAAGCAAACAACCACATAAACAGTCCTGACCGGTGATTATTTGCTGTTGTTACAGTCTCCTCCAGAAACAACGCAGTACGCGAGAAATACTGCACTAATCCTACTTGCACTTCCGTTTTTTTGCTTGCACCTGCGACTATTCCTACTATTCATATTCCTACTTCATTGATGTCCCTTCAATAACTGCTGATACAGCGCCCGTGCCCTGCGCTCCATGCACCTTGAGATCCACCCTGAATTTTGGGTCCTTTTGCACATTCGACCAACACAATTAACATCATTCGAGCAGCGAAACAGCGCGCCAGATCCCTCACCACCTGACTAATGTTCCCCGCAGACCTCATCCAGCCAGGTCCACCGGAATGGACGCATCCGCAGCGCCGTGCCTCACCGCATGTTGCTCTCCAGGACTTCGTGAATCTTTTCCCTCTCGCCGCGCAGCTCCTCCACGTTCTCTTGCCGCACCTCGATCTCTTGCTCCTTCTGGAGGCGAGACTTCCTCTCGTCGGCGGCTTTGCGCTCAGCCCTGGACCTCTTCGAGTCGTTCTCTTGAAGGAATTTGCTGAAGCGGATGAGCGACTCCTGAAGCTCGAGGTCCTTGCGCTTCAGGCCTTCTTCCCGTCGTTTGAAGACTTCTTCCTGAACCAACCGCAGCCTTCGAGGCGTGTTAAAACTCACCCTGCGCGGTAACATGCAATGTACCGGTAATGGGGTGTCCAAATGTCCTCGCTACTGATTCTGGACAATATCCGATGGTTGTCGCAGACTGGCCAGAGCACATCATGTACACGGCCGTGGACTGATGCATATCGCTGGAAGATACCATTTTTCACCAGGGTTTATGACAACTGTGCTTCAAGCAATATTTTTGAGAAACGCATACAGATTTATATGTGATATATACCATGAAAGGCGCGCAAAAAGGTACTGAACTGACAACTATTCTACAAACTAATAATTTCAGAAGGTAGAGGTTAATTGCGAGCTGTCTTCTGGTGCCCGTTCAACCCCCGATTATGTGAGGTGGGTAGCGGATACCGCGCTACGGAGAAGTAAATGATCTACCAACAAAATTGTTGAGGCATTCAAGATAGAGGTCATCAGGTTCACTCATCTCGCTTTTATGGAATACATACTATGAATCTGAAAAGAGCAACGCGGGACATTGAGCGCCCTTCCCGCCGGCTGCAATTGGATGAACATGTTTTACTTACAACCAAGCTCGACATGCGTTTCTGTTGGTCATCGTGGCGCGAACATGGCTGGGGAGCGAGAGCATTTGCAAGGGGCGCTGCACGTCGTCGTTGCGTTTTTCTTGCCGCATTCTGCAGCAAATGAGGTCTGCCAGATACCTATCATGTCCGGATGTGAAGGTCATGAAGGGGGAATGGCGGTCGCGAAGGATACGGGAGTTCTATGGCGGGAAAGCAGCCCAAAATACTCAACTCCGAAATGACCTTCATGACCTTGGCGACCTTCATGTCCAGAAATGGGTGGTATCGGACATTTGTGTTGCAAAGCTAAGCGCTGGCTCCAATTGGCAATGCGCATTCCACCTTTCGGTTGAACTCCTGCTTATGGGACTCCAGCGCTTCCTGCACTTCAAACATTTGCCTCCTCTTCTCCAGAAGCCTCGTGGCTGGGCAAACGTGCTCCAGCACAAGCGTGTGGGGAAGCATCCTCAAAATCAAAAGGGGGTGTGTCACTCATTCTGACCCGTTGGCTGAGACTGAATGGGCATATACTCAATACGTTGCCCAATATCAGGGCGTGGAGAGCCAGTTGAGTTCTTTTCAGAGATTCGCAGACTAATGCAGAGACACACAATATCCGCTGCGGAGCCTCCAGTTGGCGTGATAGAAAACAACCACAACTGGGTCGATAAACGCAATCCATTGCGGTCGTCAGAGCAGTGTTGCAGTGTCCCAGATACTAACGATCGAGCATTGGACCGCATCTAATTCATCTATTCACCCAGTCTATGAATAATAGAGCCTCAGATTTGCCCGGAAATTTTACAGGAAGGTTTGCGCAAACTCCGCGTGTGAGGTTGCCTGTGGCTCCATACGCAACAACCGCCAGCTGCCCCTTTCGACCTGCGCACGCTGCAACGGCCAAACGGTGCGATGTCAGTTGGGCGGGTTGCTTACTTCTTCGTTTGCAGAGACTTCAGGAAGTCCATGTCTTCCATATTGCCGCCGAGTGTCCCGCTCAGCGGGGGATGAAAAGCTCTGCTGGCGAGTCAACTGTGGTCAGGGGGGATCTCCTAGAGCGAGCGCCTGCTTTTCCCGCAACCAGCGGGTGGCCGTCGCGGCGACGAGGGAATTCTCTGTCGCCGTCATTTCTTGGACTTCGCCTTCTCTGATGCGCTGTGTGAGGCTGAGGGCGCGGATTCACATGTGCACACTCCATTTTGATTGTGTGATGGTTGATTCATGGGTTGACTATTTGATGAAACTGCTGTCTGCTGGATTGAGGTCAGAGGACAATGCTGCGGCGGGAGAGGCGCGGACTCTGGATTTCGTTTGAGAACTCAAATGCACAAATTTACGCATTGGACTGTAATACACACATCATGGGTAGCGCTTTGCTCAAGCAGCGCAGGGTGCTGACGGCTACCTTCTTGCCTGGAAATGTAGAATTTCATCATTATGAAACATGGAGCTCGTTTTCCGGCCTAGACGAGTTCCTCAACAATTCGTGCGTGTCCACCACCTCCAAAACGTGCCCCACGTATCTGAATATTGTAAAAATGTGGCAGAGGATATTCAATCGAGTTTGTGGGCGACAAGTGTCATGGACACGACCCAGGGGAACGGGAGGCGAAATTGGGCAGGAATGCACATGGGAGCTAGCACCCAAGAAATCAAGAATAGCGACGAGCAATGCATTGGAGGAGAGTTCGAGGCACAAGCTACAGAACTCGGGCAGCTGGGGAGCAGTACATGCGTGGGCTTATCGGTCAAAAGAATTTCACACGAAGAGGTGAAGGAGAGAAGGAGTCGAAGTCGACGGCTGAAGATCGCTGTGTGACCTGACGAGATGGTCATTCTTTACGTGAAACCGAGCCGGGTGAAAGTGGCTGGCCGGACACGATAAAACTTGCGCACGGCTTCCAGCGATTCCTGCAGGGCGCAATGCGCGAATCTGTCTGGAACGTAAGAGGGACATCTCCGCTCCATTGCCGCTCATTGAGCTGCGAAATGGCCGCCACTCACCAGCTGTACCAGCCATCATCATGATTTTTTACAGAACAAGGCAATGAGGTAGCCGTCAGCTTCCTATTTTGCCTGAGCAAAGCAGAGTACCAGCCATCACAAGCTTGCCGTTCAACGCTCCAAATTTACAGCCCATCACGTCTTTCCTTTGCATCCTATGCGTCCGCCAGTTGCACATTTCCGTCACATCCGACCCGGGTCGGATGTGGGAGTGGGCCCACTCACGAACAGAGCTGCCGAAACCCTGCAGATTCGCGCTGCACTCGAAGTCCTCAGGTCTGTCATGGGTACAGCAGAGGTGTTGAAAGCACTTCGACCCATTGCAAGCCAGATTCCGCGCCGAGACAGAGTCATGCCGGCTGTCATTGACGTGTGCAATCACTCGAAGGCACAGAACTGACTGGCGGGCCCCAACAAGCCCAGGGTTGCAGAGCATCGTCCCGAAGGCGACATTCCAATCACGCATGTGGCACGCAAACTCCACGCTCCGACACAGGGCCCTCGTCGCCTTCGGTTTTGGGACGCTGAATGTGACCCGTCCTGTCGCTGGCATTGCTGCATATCCATGGCGCTATGGCGGTCGTGGCGCAGCCCTCGAAAACCGCCCATGTGCAATCCATGAAACTCTCCAAGCTTCTACAGCGATATCCCCTGCGCTCCTGGACCTCTAACCTCAGGTTTCTCAACGACGACCCGCTGGAGCAATCGATGCAGCCGCCCACGAATTTCGACGCCTCTGCATGTACCAGTTGGAAGTGCCTCGCAATTTCCTCAAGCTCACCTGCACGGATTCGTACGACTGAGGCGGTGGCGTGCCTGGGCCATCCAACGGAGTAGGCTTTTTGGCATAATGACGTACCAACAATACACGTATGAGGCCAACGCGCGTCATTATTCCTGGTAACTTTAAAACTGAGCAATGGCCTACTGAAACGTGAAGATGCAATCAGCTGTTGACTATTGTCTATTAGTAGTGGTCCACAAACACCGCACCTCCGCCTTTGCAAAGTAGCAGCGCGAACATTTGAGAAGTCAGGAGGGCATAGACGCCCATGTTGGGGGCACACACACCCAGAGGGGATGAGGGGGGGGAAGGCTTTTTATCCTTTCTTTTCAGGGCCACTGGCCCCTGCCACCGACTTGGCGATTTTTCGCCCCCCTTGCAGCGCTTGCACCAGGGTCATTTCCATTCTTTCCTTTCTTCCTGTTAAAACTGCCGTTAGTCATGAGCACCGGCACATCGTAAGCGGGCTCATGACCGACATAGGGCAGCTGACTGGGCCAATGTTAAACAGCCAGTCAGGGTGAACAAGAAAAGAAAAAGGAAGCCAGCCAAGAAAAAACAGATATGCGTTTATAAAAAGAACAAGGGAAAGCTACTGTGCAAACGGCATATCAAGAAAATATCCGATGGTTGTTATGCCTTGACAGTTTATAGTGCCTAACTTGCTGCCTGGAAAATGGTTGTAGAAGAAAGACCAAGGGAACATTGCATGCCACAGTTCCTAAGTGGCTGCTCAGCTCTGGATGCGCTGAAGATCATCGATAACGCTCGGCCGAAGCTTGAAGGTTCCTATGCATAACTGCTGGAAGCTTTTCATGAAGGCGATGGATAGTTGCTTGAGAAAGGCAGCGTCACAAAACTGAATTGGGTGGACACAAGCTGTCTTAAGTTCTCAGAAGGTCCGAGGGTTTGAATTCGACAATCGTTTGATGATTGTGCACTGTAACTGCAATTTGCATAAGGGATTGGCCGAGAAGGGATAACCGGCTGTGTGCGTGAATGGAACGCCTTGAGGCGTTCAGCCCAGGGATGTCACCGGGACACATAGGCCATAGCCGGATGAAGAGGGTCACCCTCTGAGCATGTCGCTAACCGATCAAAAGAAAGTTGCGAGCCTTCTGCCAATGATAAGTTAACGCAACTGAAAGGGTTATACTCCAAAAGCTGTCTATAACCTCCGTTGGCCTTTTCACTAACAATAGTTTAATACGGTTGAAGAAAAGAAAAAAGGAATGGATAACAAGTAATGACATAACTAAGAAAAAGAGTAACTTAATGGTGATGGGGTACTAGGATCAGTGGCGGCCCCCACGAAAGAAGAATGGAATATTCGACGCTTCGGGAAATCGCTCTGTCATCAGCTGAAGAATGGGAATAAATGTATGACCACTATTCAACTGGTCTGTTGGGTGTAGACCAGTCTAATGAAAAGTACTGAGGGTAATCCCCTCCAATAGGTGTGTATGTACACACTGGCAATAGTTCTGAGATGGCCTGCGGCAACTACCGCCCCTTGAAATGATGAATATTGACGGGAAGTTGTCCCATCACCTGGAGACGCGTGGGCACAAAGACGCAGGCCTGGGAGGCCGCCGGTACCATCGTAGAATCAGTATTCTGAATGAAAAAGGACGAGGCATGATATGTCCTATGGGGGCAGTACATCAAGGAAAGAGTATAATGATAGGGCGGGAAAATGCTCTTGAAGTAGTACTGCATTCGGACACAAAACTTGATGGCTGTACTGTGGCTGGGTCCCATGCCCCTCGTCAGACCGACGATTGCTTGGGATTGGCGATGATTCCTTCGAATACCCATGTGACAATGGATCAGGGCCGTCAGGTCCGCCGTCACCCCGCTGTGGACTGCCAGCTCCTGGCATTCCCAAGGTAGCGTCATCAGAATGAATCGAGAACGTAATGCGCTGTGCGCATACGTTCTGCATCATGTCCATGGCAGACATGGACAGTAAGATGTCATCCCGCCTCTTGGTCACCGTACGGAGCATGTGGAGTTGGCCCTTGGGGCCGTTTCAGAGGCGGCGTTGCGCACGCAGTCAAAAGGAGCCCGCGAAAAAGGCTGGTGCCCACTCGGAACCGTGCAGGGAGGCTGGACATGTCCATGCCTATCGTCCTGGTTGGTCCCAGCGAGCCGGCACCGACGGACATGGAGTCGACCGCGGAAAACGGCAGCGTGTGGGAGCCGCGAGTGAATGGCCCACCATGCCATGTCCAGCGAGAGCTCCGGAGGGGAATCAACTCGGAGTTGGGCGTCCCAGAAGCGTGGGTATCGCCGATTGGAGTCGGCCTGCCACAATGGTGGCTGAGGACTTCCTTCGCGTGGACTTGGCGCTGGAAAATGTCGAGGGTGACGCTGCCCATGTGCCTCGCTCTCGAGGCGCATGTGGTGTGCGCCATTCCAACTCGACGTTGGAGCTTCCGCCTCCGCACCAAGGTGTGGGAAAGGTTCCAGATGGAGCACTCTGCGTGGACGACTGTGACGGGGGAAGCTTGGAATGCAGCCGAGCATGACGGGCATCATAAGAAGCCTAGGAGTTTTGGCTTCCGTGGGGAGGGCCCCGCCTTGCATCCCTTTGAGGGCCAAGGCGGGCCTCCCATGTCTTATCTGTTGCGGTCGAAAGACCTGCGTTGGCAGGTATTGGCAGCCTCGCACCATA